CTGTGAGTGGTATTGCAATAATATTTATTAGAAAGTGTTTCTCCTTGGACTGAATGCCCTGAGAAGACAAAATTCAATTAACAATACACCGTTGTCACTTCTGGAAATTACCAGAACACTCCAGATCTGTGTTTCACATGTAAATCTCACCTCTGACAGTTCTACAGTCTCCCTGTGACAAAGCAGTGCTGGCTCTCAGTGCTAGGAGGGCACGGGATGAGTGGGAGCTGCCCAGAACTTGAGCTGTCTGCAGTGCAAATACAGCTTTCATACTCTTCTTTTACAATTTAAGCTTTGTTTGCTGTGTTAGCTCTAGGAAAGAAAAAATGAAAATGGCAATATTAAAAAAATTCCCCCAAAACATAACAAACATGCAAGTTAATTCTCTATTCTTTTTGCTGCCTTACTCCCAGGCCTGACACACCCTTGTCTCCCCAAAAAAACCCAAAAATTAAAAACTGTTTAGGGTATATATTTCTATGTTCTTAAGGAGAAACTTGCCAAATTTTAGTGCTATACTCCGGTCTGGTTTTAATTCCCATTAACAGCAAAGTGTATCATCATTCTCTGCTGCTTTGCTTTTTTCCAGTGCAATGGATTTGGATGAACATTTCTGCCTCTTATCCTAGCAAAGTATAATTTTATTAATGTTTCTAGCTGCATAATACAGTATGAATGTATTTTATTGGAATACCTTGATGATTTTTTTTTTCCTTAAAATCATGTTTCACTGCTTGTAGATTAAACTCAGCACCTGTATGTTTGGAGAGAGTGTTAAAATAGTAGGGTAGGGTCTTCATGGTGACTTAAAATGAACATACACTTCAAAAATCATGGTCTAGTAATTTCTTATACTGCACTAGTTTATAGATTGCTAGACAAAGTATTTCTTTATGCCTCATTTTAACTTGATGTACAATAGAAATAAATTAACTATTTCATGGGAATGTTATAAAGACTAATAAATTATTTAGGCAGGATTTTAAAGCACTGGTATAAGCAGGTATAAGTAGGCAAGTATTACTGGTGAAGACACTCAGTTGCATAAATGGTATTTGGACACAGCAGCCATTTCAGTCTCTGAAAATGTTTCACTGGCTGCTGGTGGTAGAGATTTGCTGTTGCATGTGACCTGGGGGAAGCTGCTTAACTCCTCTGCCAAATGGCAAGACTAATGATGTAACTCAAATGCATTTAATCTGCAAAGAGCTTTGAAGTCCTCTCTCAGTGAGCTTATTCAAGTTGCAGGTCATACGATGGTTTTTGAAGATGTTTCTGCCTGTGCTTCTTCTTGCATGACAAGGATGCAGGATGCTTTCTATTTCAAATATCTATTTTATTAATTAATTATTATATCCTTTGCTATACTTATGTTATTTGACAGGGAACTGGATCTGTGCTGAGGATGTGGTCCATACTTGCCTTAGAAGTGAAGGAGCTGACTGGATCTTTCTGGTCATCTTCATCTCCCCCTAGACTCAGTTGAGGAGTTTTATGACTTCTGGAATGGTACTCTTTGCTAGCTTTTCCTCCTTAAAAGACTCAAAACCCCCCAAATACAAACAACTATTGTTAGGGAATATTTTTTTACCTTTTGAGGCAACTGATGGTTGAATAAGGTTCTATAGTTTTCCAGAAAGGGAGGATAAGTTTTATTTTCCACTTGGTACTTTTGATTATTTTTTCTCTTTGACAGTGTGAGGCAGTGTTCCTCTATCTGTAATTTTTGTGCAGCTGAAAAAGTAGTGATGAGGGAGTTTATTGCTAAGAGTGTCCAGTGAAATGTGGCCACGTCGTTCAGTTCTGCTTGTGCTGCTGTGTTTTTCTGAGAGGCTTGTCAGAGAAAATCTGTTCAGAGACCTGAGGTCTCAGAGCACAATAATGGTAATGCTTATGTACACTCATAATTTTTACTGTACCCTTTTGGTAGGTTTACCCACAGATTTAAACCCCTTTTCCTTTTATTATGTTATCACATAAAAATGTTTGCTCCATGATAAAAAACAAAGGGAAAAGTATATTCTAAATCATGTATTTTACCTGTAGCCAAATTGCTGCAGTATAAAGTAATGTTTCAAGTTCAGATTTATAGGGTTTCCCACAAAGAATTTTTATTCTGGTAATTCTGCTGTAGTTACCAGAATTGCAGTGCACTCAAATTTAAATCCACAGTCACCACTGAGGGATTCCCTCTAAGGTTGTTGACCAAAAGTGCTCCTGAGTGCTGACCCCATGGGAATCAAGGGAGGCAGCAGCCTTGGAGCTGGTGGGTAGCAGGGAGGCTCGGCTGTACAGCCCTGAACGTGGGTGCCAGGACAAGGAGTAATGGGTTCAGACTGAAAGAGTGGAAATTTAGGTTTGATATATGGAGGAATTTTCTTACTGTGTGGGTGGTGAGGCACAGGCTGTCCAGAGATGTGGATGCCCCATCCCTGGGGGGCATCAAGGGCAGGTTGGATGGGGCTTAATTGACCTGGTCAAGTGGAAGGTGTCCCTGCCTATGGCAGCAGGAATGATTCTAGAGATCTTTAAGGCCTCTTCCAACCCAAACCATTCTACAACTCTCTGGTTTGGCACTGTGATGTGGTTCACTTAAGTAGGGTGTGGTTTTTTGTTGTACTTATTTTTTTTTTTTTCACTTGGCAATGGGCATCAGCACACTGCTGCAATGTGGTCAGGAGCAACTCCAATCTTATCTGGGCAGATTCTAGACACAGGATACTCATTAGGGTATAAAACATAGCACTTCAGAGCTCAGCACCTTTCTTTCAAGTCTTTGCCAGGTATTTCCTTCTAGTGTTCATAAATAACATCCCCAGACCAAACAGTGAAGGCCCACGTCAGCAAGCCTGGAGAAATCAAGAGGAGACTGATATGATTCACAGCATTTTTCTTTTTCTTGTGGCTGCATCTCCATGCGCCGAAGCCTCGGTATCGTTGCTGGAAGAAAGTTCAGTTTGTCTCCAGCTCCTCTGCCTGTGTTCTGTGCTTTTTCTGTCTGAACATGTAGTTTCTTCCCCATTTATCTGGAATGGTTGAATTAGGAAGTGCTCAAAACAACTCTGCATTCTAATTCTAATGTGTGTTTTTTTACTCAGAAAGGCTGAGGGGCCTCCACAGTTACTCAAAGGTCAGGTGTTCAGCCCATCTCCACCTCTATTACTTTTCTCCTGTTGTTGGCTCAGGGTTTTCCTCTTTGAGAAGCAGATGTATTGTAACTATACCTCTAGCTATCTGATAATATATACAGCAGAAATTCGAATACCTTAAGTTAATGTGCCTCAAGGCTTATTGAACAGTCCCAGGAAGCAATGCTGTGAGCTGATCCTCAACGTGAAGCCAGTCTGTAAAAGACAGGCTGGCACATAACCAGCTCCAAAACAGGTTAAGAGTGTTGCTTAAGGTAGAAAACAGAATAAAAATAACAAATAGAGAAAAGAAAGGAGATAAAAGAGAAGGAATTTATATACAAATAAAAGCAGCTGGAAATAGACTCTAGTAATCCCAGTGCTCTGGTTTATCTCATCAGATTTTCTCTCCTAACCAATCTGAGCAGAGATGAAGTGACATGGAATTGCATTCACACCTCCTTAAAGGCAGGAGAAAGGCAGAGTGAATTCATACCTTTTTCTCTTGGATGGAGCCATTTTTACCCAAGTCTGCAGTACCCAGGGAACACCTGCATTTAAAAAAAGGAGTTGTAAGAGCAATAAAGAATTGGAAGGAGAGTTCAGCCACTGAAATGGAGGCTAACCCACTGCGAAATATCAGGGTTTACTGTCGCCCTGCTCTTTTGAGAGTATTAAAATGTTTTCTATGTCTTCTGATGTTTACATGTTTCTACTGGAGTTTCTCACGCATGTTCATATAAACAATGATTGTTTTGCATTCTTCTTTGCAATGATTCTTTGCATTCTTGTGAGAGGAGAGAATTGATGGACTGTTGGTTTGACCAGTGTGGTTGGAGAGGTGGCAATTTCATCCTCAAATCCACTGTCACTTTTGAAATTCTATATACTGTGGAGTCAGAAATAAACTTCCTCTTTTGCATCTAGCATGCGTGTGTGAGTTATTTCGTGTCGTAGTGCAAGAGTTTATATTTTCGTTTTCTTCCAGTAGCTGCTGCATTTCTCTTGGATCTTTTTTCTCCTTCTTTTCAACAAATTCACTTCCCTGAGCAACAAATTCACCTCACTTGAGCCCTGGGGTTCTCTCTGGGGTTTTATTAAGTGGTACTGGAGAGGAAAAATACTTGGGGGCATAACACCTCTACACCCCAGACCCTTCCCCTGTATTTGCACACCAGTAGCTACAGTGGACTAGACAGATCTCTGGAGAGAAAGAATGAAGAAAATCCTCCCTTGCCGTAGCTATTGCTGTGCAGGTAGAACTTTTTATCAAAAATCTGGATAATTCTGATGCTCTGCAGCAACATGCCGAGATCAGGCTTGGGTTAATGAAAGCAATGAAACCAGCACTTAACTTCCAAATGGATTTCCATGGAGACACCTACACAGTAATAGTATTTGGACTTTTTTATTCAATAAAAGCTTGAGATATAAATATTCTCCATTTGCTTAATATTTACGGTTGTAAAATATTTTAGGATAGCCTACCCGTCACCTGTCATTCAGCATCTCTATAAATGTTGTGAAAACATCATTGTGAAAAAAAAAAAAACCTTCTTATTTCCAGCCCACAAACCCTATTTCACCACACTCTCAAAATCAAATCAGAGACAAAAAAGAGGAGAGAAGGAACCGGGGGGATGGGGAGCAGGAGGAATACAGTACAGCAGGCGACAATGCAGTACTTGCTACACAGTAGCAAAAGAAATGGGTACAAAGTTTAGTCTGCTATAATGATAAGCTTCTCAGGACATTTGTTATGGACCAGCGTTGTCCAGTGCACTTCTGAAGGACCACTTGAAATCCAAATTCATTTTCATTGTTTTCCTGCAATTCCAGGCAGCGCTTGGATTTTCGGTTCTGGATAGGACCTCCCTGTAAAGATTGGGGAAAAAAGAAAAAGAAGTGTTTGTGTTAAACACTGACCTTGCTGCATTGCTACTGTGGGGCAATAGAAGTCATAGAACATTCCAGTGTCCATCTACTGTGAACAACTTTCCAGTTAGAGACAAGGTAAGTGCTGGATTTGGAATGAAGGTTCCTTTGTCACAGGCTGGTTTAATCTCTGATTAAAATCTCTGAGACTTTTAACCCCTTCTTGGACAGTGAAATCTTTGTGAAATATTACTCCTCCTTGATCTGAAAGAGAAGAGAAATGGCCTGGGGCCTGAGATGTCAGAAGAAGATAGGAAAGAATCCTAGGTGGGAGGAGATGATGGAGGGGCTTTTGGCTGGACTTTTCTTGTATAGTCATAGATTGAACCAGTTTCTCCTGGAACACAGAGACTGCATTTTAGGGGGATGCAGTGGTTTGAGCCAGGGGAATGACCGGCTGCAGTGACGCCAAGAGAGTGGCAGGAGTGGAATGAACAGAGGAAGTTGAGGAGGGTGTGGTGGTGCCCTCTGCCTTCAGGGAAAAGAAGATCGCTGTTCTCTGGACCCTCGGCCCCAGGGGAGGAGAAAATGGGGGGGGACTTCTGTCCCAAAATGTGAAACTGTTGTGCTTTGGTCCTTGGCAAAGCATCCTTAAAAGGAACCCTGTGAGCAGTCTCAGTCCATGCACAATGGTGAGAGCACTGTGACATGGAGAGGAGAGTGTCACACTGGCAGATTTTCTCTGTGCAGTGCCATGTGTGACATGGAAACACCAGAGGCTGCAGTTGTGTTTCCTGGGGTCTATAGTGCAAGTGAGACTCCTCTCTCCCCTGATGGATTGAATACTGATTATTTGAGGGGTGGTAACTTGATTGAGGGTCCAAGTTTTGTCTCACTGTTTTGTTGGAAATTGGGTGGAGGGAGGGGGAAAGTTTTAGAAGGCTTTCATTCTGCATTCAGTGTCTTTTATTATAGTTGTAGATTAATAAAGTTATTTTCTTTGTTTTTAAGCTCGAGGCTGCTCGGCTCTGTCTCTGGTTGCATCTCACAGCACTCGTTTGGGGAAGGTGTGTTCTCATGGGGGCACTGGCATTGCACTAGCATCAAACCCTGACACTTGTGTAGAGAATCACTGGCTTAACCTATAAATCAAAGAAAGGAGTTGGTGTAGATTTGTACATCTGAAGTATGAAAAGAGCAGAAGCATTGAAAAAAAAGCTTATTTGTACAATGGAAAAAAAAGTTGCTGTAAAAAACCCAAACATGTGATTCCATACAAAACCCACCACCTCATAGTTTTGTTCAAGTCTGTGTTATACCTTGCATTATAAAGTCATAACTGGGAAGGATATTGGCATAAACTGGGAAGGACTGGGAAGGATATTGGCATAAACTGGGAAGGACTGGGAAGGATATTGGCATAAACAAGGCTGTGTGCTGTTTCAGAGCAGGCTGCTCCCCAAGGGCAGCTTGTGCCATTCAGTACAGGTTCTCCTTCACTCTGAGAGGTGGCTGAGGGTCCCCTCCTATCCCACCAATAAAGCTTAGCAAGAACTTTCTCTAAGGTGTGACTTCTAAAATAGCATTTTGGGCCTGGTTAATGAAATACAGAATTAGGTTTGAAAGCTCCACATTTTAAATATAGCTTTGGATAAGAGGGACCATTTCTAGAATAATCCACAAAAATTCAAAACGTGTGGCTCCCATAAATCCTCCCAGTAGGTCTATGTGCAGCCTTGATAAAATTTCCACTGATTACTTTCCTAGACAGACAGGCTTGCAGAGGCATTTTAATACACCTCCATAATGAAATGCTGACTGAACTGTATTTTCCCACTGCTGCATCACTGTTATTGACATTTGTATTAATAACAATAGTTAAATTTGGCTGTCTGGTGGGAGCATAAACTCCAAACTAGCCAAAAACAATAATACGGCACGACTTACAAGAAATTTGAAGAAACTAGGATGAATATTTTGTCAATACTTTATTATATGCCATTTCTTCTCTTATCCTGGACACCCACACTACACCCCCCCATCACTAATCTCATTCCCCCATTTCCTTGGTTACTTTGGCCTTCTAGAGATCATTGTAGTGAGGCTGATTTTTTATTTTCTCCAAGCTAATTTAATGAGCTTGGAACTGGATTATTCACATGTAAAACTCTGAGGAAATGGATATTTTCTCATTGTGAAAGGAACAGTTATCTTTTCTTCTAGAATAACACGACCTTTCTATTCTTGATTAAAGATGTAGGGTGTGGTTTTCCACTGCTTAGACTCAGTGTTGCATGGCACCTCAGCTTTCTTGGCATAAACTGGAAGTTGGCAATTACACCTTAAAAGTGTTTCTGCCTAAACCCAAAATCAAGATTAACTTTGTTGCGTTTTCAACTGATGCTGGAGGCGCTTGTGTTGCTGTTAGTTATGCAAACTAGCTTTGTATCTTTCATTAATTGATTGTCTCTCATCTGACTTTTGGTACTTGAGACATTCTCAGCTCAGAACCTGCACTGGAAGCTGTAGAAAGTTGTCCCACTTTGTCTTGTTAGAAAACTAATTTAGTTGGGTCCATTACTTGCCTCATTTCTGGACTTGGGATATGACTCTGTGCATGGTACTCTTGGGCTTCTCCTGTTATTTCTAACTTACTGGCATAAGGAGAGGAACAGAATTCCCTCTCTCCATTTTTTTGTGAAGTACAGCACTTGGAGCTCTGTCAGTAGAGCAAGGCACAGTGTTAAGATTTAAAGACTGCCATGCAGAGTTGGAATTTTTCTGCTTAATTTCCATTTATTTCAGTGGTTAAGGGTTTCTTTCACTTGAATGAGCCCAAATGCTATGTGGATTTGGTAGAGGAAGGAGGGGTAGAGAAAGGAGGATGTTCACAGTGGAGACAATGTTTTTTTGTTTTTTCTAAATTTTGTAGAGCAGATCTAGGTGTTATAGTAAATGTATTCATGAGAAACACTTCAATACAGGCAGCTACACAAACAAGGTGTAAACCATTCCTAAGGAAAAATAAAACAAGCAAGCAACCAAAAAAAACCATATAAAGAGCCCCCTCACACTCCTTTGCTCTTTCTGATGTGCCCTCATGTGAAATCTGGCTTTTATTTAACAGAAACAAGTGAATTGGGACATAAAAAGCCAAGGAAGCTAATTTTGATTGGGGGGAAGTGCACTGCATTGGCTACTGAAAACCACCCTGCTGAGTACATTGGAGCTGCTGCATGGAGTATAAAAGAGACACCAAAATTAAGTAGTGTCTAATATGTGTGAATTGAGTATTGTAGAGAGCACAGATGCTTCCAGCAAGATGTGCTTTTCTTAACCACAAAAGGGAAACGTGAAGTCCCAAGCCTTGTTAGGAGCTAAGCTGTTCTATTTCTAAGAGATGAGAAGCCTGTACAGAGCCACAGCTTCAGCCTTCAGAGTGGGTGCAGTGTACACAGATGCTTTCAGCAGGCACAGAAATGAAAGAACTGCTCTGAAGTACAGGGAGAAAGGTTAGTTACTTAAAATTTCCTGTTATTTTTCTATTGTAAATGCAGGCGAACCCAATGTGAAGAAATGACAACGTCTGACTCAATTCAGAAGGCTGAGTCATTTCTTTATTATAACTGTGCTAAAATACATTAATATACTATATAAAAGGAGGATACTCAAACTACATACTACTTTCTCTGTCTATCTCTAACACAACTCGTGACCCTCTCTGAGATCCCAGCCCCAGGTGGGTTGGATTGGCCATCAGGCTCAAACAATCCTCACCTGAATCCAATCAAGCACTCACCCCAGATAAACAATTCTCCAAACATATTCCACATAGGAAAAAAAATGAGCAGAAATAGAAATTGTTTTCTTTCATTTCTCTCTGTGCACCTTTATGAAAAATCCTGAGAGGGAGACAAATGTGCTTGACACAATTTTTTACTTAACTGTGTTCATTTTCATCTCTTCATATGCCCAGTCCAAGCCTAGGACAGTGGTGTTGTCCTGTCAGCTCTGGGTTGCTGACAGTGCACCTCATACAGGCTGCAAGGCCTGAATTAGTGAGCTGTCTAAGGATTAAAGCACAAGAACTGAGTAACTCCAGGAAAAAACTGAGCAGGCAGAACTGAGGCATCAAAAGCTAACACTGTCTTTTGCTCCTCTGACTGGCTTGGCCTCCAAATTACAGAATTCCTGAGTGGTTTCTGCAGCCTGCTGTCATCATTAGCATTTGGAACCCTAAAGCCAAATGTGTGGGAGGCGGTCCCAAGGAAAGTTATCTGAATATGCCTTGGGAAGATACAACTGTATAAAAGTGTCATCTTGAGACTCCCCCCTTCCCCATGGAAATGAAGATATGCCCATCATATGGTGTATCCTCCCCAGTTTATGCTCATCACTGTTTGTACCATCCTTCGTCTCCTTCGACCTCATTCTATCCTCAATAAACCCACATGCTCATTGAGAGGCAAGTTGCCCATCTGGGTTCCTTTCCCCATTCTAGGCAAGATCTCTACTTTCCAATTTAAAGGCAAAAATTGATAGCTTAGGGTAATGTCTTTAATCATGAAACATTAAACATAATTCTGTAGGCTGAAACAAGTTTCAAGAGAAATTCTGTGCAATTGAACAGAATTAGGATTAAGATCACTGATGATGAGAGACAGCTCAATGGCAGTAGAAGTCTCAAAGAGGATAAATAAGCATCCAGGTCAACTATTCTGTAAAAAATAAGGCTGAAGATGTCAGCACTAACAGGTTTGACTGAAAACTGCATGGTTTTTGCAAAGCAAATTGAAGCACTTCCTGTGAGAAGTACCAATGTTCTCAGCTCCTGTTGGTACTCAGACACACAGAAAACTGATTGAGTGCTTTGTAAGTGTACTTTTAATGTTAATACTGTCTCAAGTCAACATCCTGGTACACAGAGTGGAAAGCAATGCTTTTGACTTCCTTTAGAGTTATTGCACTTACTGCATTTCTGCTGTATGGAAGGGGTTTCCTTCCCAGTCTTTCATTAAGGCAGAATGTATCCAATAATATGGCACTTAAGAACACCATTTGACATACCTGCAAGCCCTTGCAGTAGCAAGTTGTGCAAAGTAATTAGACAGTCTTTGCTGAACTGTTCTATAGGATCTTTTTTGGTTTACTGAGGGTGGTAGATTCACAGTTACCAAAGCTGATACCTCGTCACTTGTAGAGAAGAGGGATGTTAAATGAGTGCTGGAGGTTGTCAGCATTACTGAAAATAAAACTGATGGCTATTTTTAAGGAGTTATTCTAAAGTGAACACTTTTCCTTTCAGAGTTTAAACCTGCTTTTTGCTCATCATAATGAAGCTCATGTTATTCTTCCTGAAAGAGAAAAAACATACTTGCCTAAACCTGGATATTTCAGAAAAAGGTCTTAAAAGGTTAATAAGTATATCCAGTCTCCTATCACATACGCTGTATAAATCATTGTATTTTCTAGTCTGTTAATTTTCTATTTGGATCTCAGTCAGTGACCTCAAATATTTACATGCTCACTCTGCCTTTGAGGCAGAAACTCTAATCTTTGCTGTTGCTTTGATACATTTGAATCAAAGAATTATGGTGAGGTGTATGAGCTACTCTCCACTCCAAACAGAACACTTGACCTCCTCATGCATTTCCCCAGAATACTGGGGTAAATTTTCAGGGACTGTTGGTACACCAAATTTAATCCTAAAAAATTATACAAGGTGTCTTTTTTTCCTCTGTGTGCTTCACTTCCATATGGATGTTGAAGCAGTAAGAAAGACTGGGAGACTGGAATAATTTATCCCATCCAGTAATTTATGCATTTTCACTATTGCCTGTTACTTGGAAATACTGGATGATGTTATTCAGTTTAAATTTTCTGCTTTTTAGCTGTATAAAGGATATAGCTATATATAATATAGAGGTAACTGATTAACTTCTTGAATCCAAAGAAGTAAGACAAATTTTCCAACTCTTTGTCTGACAGGTGTGCTGTAAGTAAAGCATGCTCTATAACATATCTTTTGCTGTTCAAATCTTCCATCAATTAACTTGAACTATTTAAATTGAAATATTTCTCACTGAAGTATATTGATAGCTGCCCTTACTCAAAGACATGCTTCCTAACATATTTTATATGAGTGCTGTGAAAATAAGGTGCATTTAACTGCTTTTATGTATATGAAGTATCATATACAGCAGGTTTATATACTAAAAATATATTGTTATCTGTTCAGCTATTTGGATCATTATTTACAGGGTAGATAAGCAATTGAGAATTTTTACAAGACTCAAAATGTGAATGACTCACTTAAAATGTGAAATTATTTTTCCAATATTAAACAAAACTAATTACTATGTACAATGTAAACTTAAATGGTGTTAAAACAGGGATCAGCCAAACCATTTCTTAAGGAAAAAGTCAATTTTTTCCCTCCTCCTGCACTCAAGTTCTGTTGTCAGGTTGCCACCCAAGCACTTACATCCACTTGCTGGTACTCAGTGTGTAAATACTGTGAAACATCCTCTGACAGTGATACATCGTTCAACAGTTACTTCAATGTCTACATCACAGTTTTGTCTCATTCCTCTCCCAAGACATCTGAGTGCTCAGGTTTTACATGATCATAAATGCTAAATTTTCACAATGCTGCACTAAATTTTGAATACTGAAGCTGTGACAAATCAAATGAAGCAGCCTTATCTGTATGTCCAGAGCAGGTTTTAGTAACTAGATGTCTGTGCAATCATTTTCTGTTTTGTTTACTCTAGATTGGATGGTCTGATTTGCTTACTTTCTCCAGGATATAGAAATACACTACACTGTTAATTCAGGTATTAAAATAAAAGCAATTAAACCTGGTACAAGGAAATGCAGTTTCATACAGAGAATGTAAGTGGAATAGAAAAGAAATTATAGACATTCAGCATAAACATTAGAAAATGAATACATGGATCTATACCTATCACTAACATTTCTCCACATATATTAAAAAATCATCACAGATTTCAAATAGGTTGCAGTCCTGTTAATAGCAAGATTAAGAAAATAATAACTTGAAAATAATTACATTCAAACCTTCACAGAAATACCAAGAAGCTCTTCAGGATATGATAGCTGGAAATGTATTTTACTACAGAAAATTGGTATAAGGCTACAAAAACATAAGTTTTGGAGAAGAATATATTAGCCAGACTAAGAGATTTTTCAGAAAGTAAACACGAATTATTACTCTATCAGCAGTGGCCAGGAAATCTTCCTGACATGCTAGAAAAACATGCAGAAACAACTATTCTAGGCATATGATTTTTGTAATTAATTATTAAATACTGTCTCAGGGGTGGAGGTGGCTGTGGTAGAGTGGAAAGCAGATTAAAAGGGGAATCCTTTATCCATACATAGCCCTGATAATTATAGCTAAATGCAGAGTTTACAGCTGAATGCATTGTTTGGTTTTTATTTGGCAGCAAACCCAGATGATGATGTATTATGTTGATCTTCTGAGAGCCAGGACTACCTAGCAAGTTGTTTGTGGGAATGGAAGAACTGTCTTGATGCTCTGCAGCTGAGGGTGATGTGCTTGGTTTTTCTGACCACAATTATCCTGTGTAACCAGTAACAGGACTCAGAAATAATTGCCTTTTTGGGTACTTAAAGGAGTAAGCTGCAGAGATGCATGTTGGTGAGGGATGATTGACAGATTGATATGTCTGATTTTATTTTCCTTATCACTAAAGGGAATGGTGTTCACACTGTGTCTTCCTTTTCCCTAATTTGCCTGCTTGTCCTACTTGGTAGCATTCAGAAAACTCCATATTCAGAATGCACCACATTCAATGCTCACTGGCTACTTAGTGCTCCAACTTTGATACTCAAGTACTAAATTAGAACTTAATATGTGTTTCTAAACTATGACAGTTCACAGCAACAACTACAACTGCTACATTTTATACTCCCTCTAGTAGGAGAAGAGTTGGACATAGACAAATCCTGCATTTTAAACACCTCTGGAGTAGTGTGTGACACTTGACCTATAGAAAATACCCAAAGTTAATGCTTTACCAATGTTTTCTGCAGGGTAATTTTTCTCTAACTAAAACCCAGAATTCTTTACTTTCTTTTCATTTGTTGTGCCATGCAACAGCTGCTTGTGTAGTGAAACAATATCTTGAAAAAGACAGGAGTTGTTGGAGGTGTTTGCTTTATTTATTTTAATACTGCATTTTGTGAAAAGCTTAGAAAAGTTACCTTCTTCATCCTGAGATTACATAAATTATTTCTGCAAACAACTCAGGCTTGATTCATCTGCTGTGATCTAGGCTTGCTTCAAGATGTTTGAAGTGTAAGACAGAGAAAAGCAACAAAAATGTTTTGAAGTGTGATTGACTATTCAGATGGTGGGGAATTGCAAAATATAGTAACATGAAATAAAAAAAGGACTTTGCCTAGTAGGGGAATGAAAATTAGTGTGACCTGCCTTTAGTGTTCAAAAGTATGCATACCTGTGAACAGCAGTGAGGAACTGGTAAACAAAGTTTCTAAGGAAAATAGGAGTGTTAGACTAAAAATTTGCTACAACTATTGATAATTTATGAGAGTATAGGAAACCTGTTGAATTCATTGTCTCAGACATCAATGTTCAGTGACTGACTGATATTTTTGATGGGCTGAATTAATTTTAAGAGTGCTGCTAACTCTTTTTCAGGCATGCTGAGATAATCATTCAGACAAATCAAGCCTCAATCTTCTCAAAGAGCAAAGCAGGGGTCAGGAAGAGAATCCTCCTCTTGGATTTACAGTGAACTGCTGGCTCACAACAGAGCTTATTTCTGTGGAACAGCAAGCACTGCCCTATTGCCTGGGGCAGTCTTCTGGATGAGGTAATTAATCCAGTTAATTAATTTTTTGATCTGTGATGCAGCAAATTGTATATTCCTAGGTTTTGCCTTCCTGTTTGGTTTTAGTAAAAGTAATATATCACTGTGGTACATAGAATTAGAGAAGTGTTTCAGTGGCAAAAGACTTTTTAGGTTATTGAATTCAACAAATTAATTCAACACTATCAGTTTCATAACCAAATGAAACCATGGCCCTAAGTGCCACTTCTACGTGTCTTTTAAATACACAACTGATGTGAAGAATACAACTTCACATTGCTATTTACCAGCCTTAGCATAGGTTACACCTAGTTACTCTTCTTCAGACAATAAATGAGCAAGTCCCTTCAGCACAGCTAGGAAACCCAAGATTTTTATATTTTTATAACCCAAGATTTTTATATTTTTCCCAGACATGTTAACAGTTTTCCAAAGGTTTATGGGGTTTAGATGAGATTATTTGTGAGAAATAACTCCCTTGGAAAACAAAAATACCAAATGACAATTTTATTTCTTCTGTGTGTGCGTTGTATTTAATTAATCTAAGTTTTCTAATCTGAATGCTCCATAAGAAGGAGGCTTAATGCATTTTAACTCAGAAACTGAACTACTTGCATTATCATTATATCCTTATGATTAAACCAGTCTCTAGGGCCTAAGAAATAAATTGAATGCAAAGTGAAGAAAATTAGGAAATGAATTTGCACCAGTATTTCAATTGATCTGCATATTCTAACACGGGATTTTAGGCTGGGCTCTTTGGGACTCTGATGATAGTGTCTAGTTTTTGAAAATAGTTTTCTCCCCACTAACTACACAAATCTGATTATAACTCATACTGGGAAAGTAATGTCCTTGCTGCTGCAGCACAAACCTTGTGCAGTTTACTCACACGGTAATGAAAAGAATCTATTTTTTTTGTCTGATATACTGAGAGTCACCACTCTTGGTTTCAGGACACCAGGCTTGATGGCCTGATCATTTCACTGAATAACAAACACTTTTTTCTTGTAAATTTTTTCATCCTGATCTATCTGATTTCCAAGGGAACATTTTTCTCATCTTCTTATCTCAGACTGTAGACAATTACTTGGTAGCCATATCTTGCTTACATACGTACTGATTTTGTTTCCACTGGGATTAAGGTTGCAACTTTTACTGACTTGACAGGGATAGAGTTTTGCTTTCAGCTGGGAATTTAGAAATAATAACAGCAAAATTTGTTCCACAGCTGGGGAATGCAGAACCCAAGCAGAGACTGGTGCGGTAATGTAAAGGAGGAGCCAAAAGCAGAGTTTAGATCCCCTGAAACTCAGGCCTTCACTTGGTGAGTGCTGGTTTTCACTCAAGTTGTAGGAGACATTCTGGATTTGGCCATTGCTTTGCATGCCTGCCATGCCAATGCCATGCAGTGCCTTGGCAGCAGCGGTCACCTGCAACTGTTGGATGCAGCCTACCTGGACAGCTGGAATTAGGAAGAACCATGTGCAACTCGAACAAATAATTTATTTGTGAATAAATGTGGTGTTTAAAATTAGATGCTGAAATATGCAAATAGGGTATCTGTTTCGAACGAAAAACATGAGTATGTGTTAACTTCCTTCTAAATTAATTCAGCACAAGTGTCTTTGGAGCTTAAATGCAGTTCTCAGGAGAGTAAATACTGCATAATGTGATATGCTAGAAAAGATTTCAAATGCACCCACTAAAACCTCTGTATTTCACAAAAACTTTCTAGCTGGCAAGTTCTACACCAGTTTGCAAAGATTAAAACTTTCTGCTAGAAAATTACTCCAAATAGAAAACTAATCTGATACAATGAAATTTTGGTCACCAGTAGCTATGGCACTAATTAACAAGCAAATTTAGCATCAGTTAGCAATAATTGCCAATCAAATCTAATCAGTTGTTAAAACACAGTATTGTATAGTAGTATTTCTATTCCATATTTTTGTGCATGTTTTTCACATATACATTTTAGTTTTAACTTGCAGTTAAGTATTCAAAATGGAGAAAGCTTGTGTGCATTTAGATTTTTGTACTTCCCCATTCCATTCTGCATAAATGATACTAAAATGTTTATAGGCTTATAGTAAGACATAGTTCATGGTGAATAAAAAAGAAATATTTTAATACACCTCTTTTAAAATTCATATTGTCATGTTAAAATATGACAAGAATATTAAGTTACATGTTAGAGACCAATTTACTACAGAAAAATGCAAATTGAAACATTAACTCTAGTTTTCTCATGTTTAAGCAGAACAATGGTTCAGCTTCCTCATCCTCCAGATATAATACCTTGTGCAATTATTCAGTTAGTCCAAATATTAAGTACAGGCAACCTAGGGTAATATTTGATCCAAAAATCAGCAAAGAATACCTAAATATAGAAATGCTGCTGATGTACTGGACCGCTACATCAACACTGAGCCGTGGGGTTTGTGGAAGTGCTTTTTTATGTCTGAGGTTCAAAACTCCCCACTTGGCAACACTGGTTACTTAAAAATCAGATTGCTTCACTAAAAATACAGGGCTTAACGTAGTCTATTGGCTCATGTAATTGAATAATTAGGTTCTGTTTTTCTTTATATTTCTCCTTCAGGATCAAAGTCTGTATCTCTTTTAACAGGATCAGCATCCCTTTCTGTTCTGAGCTGCCAGGCAAACAGCACTGCCTAATTACACAGTTCTACAGCAGTACAGCATGTCTTAAACTACAGAGACATACTGAGAGTATTTGTATCCCTTGCTGCTAGAAACACCACATTAATGCAAACTCTTGATCAATCAGTGATGCTGCTTTGCCAGCCTGTGGCTCCCACAATGGAAGAACCTGAGGAAGTGGATGGGGGCCACTGTTCCCTTAGACACACAGAGCTCTCCTGAAATGAATCCCTCTTGTATGCTGATGTCCTTGGCTAATGGATGGGATGAAAACAGGAGTGGACATTAGAATTAGGCTGCTGTAAAATGGTGTTGGGCTCTGCTTCTGCACTCTGTGCTCAGCAAGGGAGCATCTGAAATTGGTACAGAGACTCCCTTCTTGCTTCCCAGCTCATCAGTTTAATCTTGCTATGCAGCTGCATTACTGTACTTCCCTGGGCTGTGGCAGTGGGTAATGTGTACTGCACAACCTTTATGTTCATTAGATGAAGGTGTGTAAGAGTAATTTAAATGCAAAAGTCTTCAGGAGGAACAAGATGTAAATTCAGTAATTTTAAGGTCTATTCTTTCTTTATACAGCTAAACAGAAGATCTCCTTATCTACTACCTAATACCTATTTATGCAAGATCTAAATCATCATATTTATCTGAGGAATACCTGTAACAACTCAGTAATTAATAAGCTTGTCTGTCTTACCTTTCCTTCCCAAGCAATTCCTACTATGATATTTAGGATATACGTATTGTAACTACAGCTGTCAGCAAAAAATTTTATTTACAGTTTCTGGCCATAGCATAAATCACTCCCTCCAAGCATTTATGAATGGGAAGACATCCTGTGGAAACCTTCAGCAGTGACTAGACTCACAATTCTCCACACCATGCACAAGGAATGTTATCAGAAGATATGGGAACAGGATGGTGCTGAGAGCAGGACCTGCACATCTTCTCTCTTCCATGAAGGATGTGGTGAGTGTCCATCCCTATAGATGCAGATTCTTCCTACCTTTCTATGGAAACCACACTGGAAGCTGAATTGGTTAAATTAACTAAGTATGAAACAGCTGTAAATGATTAATCCCAATTTGTAGCTCAGCTTGGGGTCTTTTCTTTTGCCTCTTTTTACACAGAGCTCTCCCCTGTTGCATTTCTCAGAAGAAGCAAAAAGCGAGACCGTGGCTCGTCAGGTGAGAATGGGATAGTCACATACCTGTCCAGCTGAACAGAAACAGGATAGTTCAAGATAAAGAGTAATTACAGAAAAACTTCCTCCTTTTGCCTTTGATATGCCTCTGGAGGAGCCCTAACAAGGCAAATGAACTTTCTAACTGATCTGCTACCACCCAGGTGAGGCATGTAGAGACAAATTTCACTTGTAGGGCAGGCAACTGACTCTGCATCAGCAACAAACCTGGGAAATCAGATTGGAGACTGAGAGACTTCTTAAAATCACGCAAATCTGGGATTTGTCCTCCGAAAAACCTGATTGCAGCACTGAGAATGTACTGCTTCTCCAGAGCACCAACAAAACTAATCGTATCAGAGAACGGATACGATGGCCACAAGCAGTTTTTTCCAACAGATGTCCTGAGGACTCACCTGCCCAGGTGCTCTGGCCTTCGTTTCCCACAGCTCATAGCTCCTTCTCTGCCACCTCCCAGAGCCTGCAGCAGCATCACTGCAGCAGCATCACTGCAGCAGCATCACTGCAGCAGCATCACTGAGCACAGTGACAAATGCTGCTGAGCTGCTGCTGCTGCCAGCAGTGTCTGCACCTGCTCCTTGCCAAAACCAGCCCACAGCCTGAGCTTTTGCTTTCCTCACGCCTCATCCTGCCAAAGCAGCTTCCTTGAGATCATGTTTCAAATAATATTTTACTAAAATTCTGATCTTTTTTCTTATTCTTGCCTCTATCTTCTCTTCCTTGTCTAATTTCTGATCACTTGCTGTTTGTGTGTTTTTTTTTTTTTTTGTTTTTTTTTTTTTTTTTTTTTTTGCTACAAGCTCTTTGTTCTGATTAAATGAAAAAGTGGTAAGACAGACTGAACTGGATGAGCTGTCAAACACCTAGAAAACATTCCAGCATAAAAGTATTTTCAAAATAAACACTTCCCTAAGAGAAGACTTGACAAACAGCCTGAACAATAAAATTCTTGAACACCACCCAGTTGATGGGACTCTTTTCTGGGCTAATTTACATAATTTGACATAATTACTGTTATAAACACTTGAAGAAGCTTTGCTAGCAAGAATGCCACCAAAGCCTACATTTTATTTGCTCTTATTGCATTTGGCAGCTGTACCAAACTGTGGAGCATGGAAATGTGCTCAGATAGATCCTGGTTATACAAACACATACTACAAGCTTTGAATGCTCAATGCAAGTTTCTGTACAGGACAAAGATACTGGAGGTAGTGATTCCCTCCAAGTGCCTGCCCACCAAACCACAATTTTGTCCATGAAGCAGCAGTGGACATCTGGCTGCCCGACTCCAACTGCCTGCAACTGAAGATAGCCAGGGAGTTAAAAATTTTAAAACCAAAGTAAAAGATAAAATAAAAAAAGAAATCAAGTTTGATATATATGCCCAAGCATATATATGTATACGTGTATACTCATGCTTCTGATCTAAAAGATGACTTAATAATTAAATAGTTCCTTAATAGATCTACAGAAGCAAGGAGTCCCCTAACTGAGGATAACCCCATCTTTTACATTTGTCATGTGGAAGTCACTCATCATTACACAGTACAAAGGAGGAGGAAAGTGTTACCTGAAGGATATTTTTTTTCAAAGCTGTACAGTTTTCTATCAACCAGACTGCTGTCCATATCCCACTACACACTATTGTGGGGCCTCTCTGATTACAGTGTTTCCTCATTCAAACTAATTTACCATAAATGTCTGTAAAGCAAGGAAAAATACAGATTTTTGTGCTGGTCAGGGAAATCTAGTTCAATTGTTTATCCTACTTTGGATGATCAGTCTGTTTCCTGTTCCCCTTCTGAGACAATCCCCACTTGCACTGCTGTATTTTTACTTACCTATACCATCAGACATTCCCATGGAACGGCTCAAGAGCCCAGGGAAGTCAAAGCTTTGCTGCAGCCAAAGGAAAGTGCTACAAAAGGCTACAACCAGCATCTACATTTGAATTAATAGTTCACAAATTTCAAGACAATATAAGCATCAGTATGATACTCACAGGAGTCCTGCTCACTGCACGTATGGAAAAGAAATACCAGAGCTTTAAAAAAGTAATAAAAAGAGTCTTTTTAGAGACAGCTTCCAAGACAGATGCACAAATACATTTTTTCACCAAACTAAATGGGTGCACTTCAAATGGAGTTCATCAGTTGATCTTGGCAAGCCCTGATTACATTCATTAACTTTCTTCTAACTTACAGCATGTACCCCATTGAGCAATAATGACATTTTAATTGTATTGGGTATTAGCAAAATCCTTTTTGAACATAAAACTTGTAATTATTTCATTTGTCTCTTAATTTATCATGAAGAAATTAGCTTTCACTTCTCTCAGGGAGATGTTCCTTTGCAGAAGGAAGAGAGAGGTCATAGAGTTGAGTTTACCAGTGCTGCACCTTCATTGAGAGATTGTAGCTGGAATATGGAATTGCAACAATCTTAATACTGCTAAATCCCATTTTTAAAGATTTTAATAGCTAAATTATCAAGGTCTTCTACTGCTGCCTCCTGCCCCAAAGTAAGATCTAACATACTCAGTATTATGAAACAGCAGCAGTATCCCGGAGTAGAAACCATTAATTGTTGCCAAAACTTTGGGGTATACAGTGCAATCGCTGGATAGGTGGACCATGATAAAATGTTACTGAAATACTGTTCAATTTTAATTACACTTTTTAGAAATGGTATTAAAAAAATCAAACACAGAGATGGATACAGTGAGGCTCCCCTCATGAAAAGACTAGTGTTAAAATTTGTGAGAAGATATAATTAAAACTTTGCCCTTAAGTGGCCAATTTAGGGATTTAAGATCTGTTGCTTGAGAGTTACCTCCTAAAGACCTAGATGACTTTCAAGTATAAATACAAAATAAGCTAATACTATGCTTTACTGATAAATGTCCAGATGCTTTCTGCAGCTAAATTGATACTAGCTGTATTAAAAATGTCCTAAAGCATATGGATAATGGCTATTAAAGAAATTACTGAGTTGACAGAAAAGATACTTGCAAATCCATGTGGATGTTACAGGAAAATTAAATGCAGGGGAAAAAAAATTGCTTTTATTGGTGAGCCTCAGCCTGTGGGCTGGAGTACTCAACTAGATTTGTTGACTCAAAACTGCAGAGGAGCAACTGTGATACCAGGCAGACTCACACTAGCTATGACATTTGCCCCAGAAGCTACATCATGCATGTGTTTTAGAAAGTAATGTGGTTTCATTTCATTGATTCACTAGCATGCCAGCACCTGACGTGGCAAAGTTCCACTGTGTTAAACTTACCTTAGGAAAACTCATCTTTCTTGTTTTTTGGCTTCCAACCATTGGAACCTGTTTTGTCTTCAGGGTAACCTATACCCCTCTGTGGAAACATTGAGATGCCTCGAGTCACCCTGCCATTTCCTCTTAGCTAAACCAGAGTGATCTCCTTAAGTGTTACGTGGCAGAGCACCTTTTTTAGCCCCAGAACTTCTGTGGCTTCTTTACTCTCCCTTATGTTTGTAAATCCATTATGAATGCAGACACTGGGCCTGGCCTTAGTGTCCTGTCAGCATTCTCATCACTATGAAAGCCTTTCCTTGAGCCTCTTTCTGCATCTCTTACACTCATGTGTAAAAGCATGAGCTGTTAAAAAATAAACTGCAGAACTAGCTCATTTTGAGGCTGTTACAACCAATGATCCACTACCACCGTTTCTGAGTGGCTACTTTAGAAAAAGCAAACAAACAGATTTATGTTCCTTGTTCCTAAGTAGGTTACTTTGCATTTGACTCCACTGAAATAACAATTTTTTTCCTCCCCCATAACAGTACTCTTCCTTAGAAACAAGTTATTAATGGTGAACTGAGAAAATATAATACAAGTTTTGTATCCTACTGAGGTAGCTGACATTGGGACCAAAACTAAACACCATCTTCCCGGCTCTGTGCAAAGAAAGCAAGGATACATTTGGTTCTGTTCCGTTCATAAACAGATTACTCACACTTTAACACAGAAACAGAGCTTTAAAACTTTCTGAAATGGCTGCTGGGGAAGAATTACCTGAGTAAACTGCCAGTAAAGCTTCATTCTCTTGGCTTTGGCATAATTGCATTCAATGAGCCTGGGCCTGCTGTTCACATCCACCAGACATCTGTTGTCGTCATCGTCAATCGTGGGGCTCAGAACACCCACGTGGAGCTGCTGACTGCTTGTGTAATAAACATTCTGCAACAGGAAGCACAAACAGGATTTGTGGCTCTACAAGAAGCAGCACTCTGGCCCAAAAGTTATTGGCAAAGATAAATATGCCGAATAGCAGTAGGCTGACCCCACAGTAGCTTTCAAATTATTTTCTTTCATGCAGAAAGCAACACAATATTTTAAAAGTTGGTCTAAATGAACAATTAATTGCTTAAATACTGGCTAAGTATTTAAGAGGAAATATGCAAATACAACTGATTATTGTCTCATCATGTGACTTTTGACTTCTGTTTTCTATGGCCATACTGAGGGTCTTCAAAGAGGAAGATACACACCCTCGGATTGGCTTGAATATGGCCATCAGCTTTCATTAGACTATTTCATCTGAGGATAACAACCCACTGGACAGGTAAAAAAAGAGAACAGCAGCACAGGAGTTCAGAGCATCTGTCTTTTATAGAACAGATAGAAAGATAAATTAAAATTTTCTGCAAACCCACACTCGAAGCAGCTACTATATAGAAAAAAATAGTTGTTATCAACTGGTGACAGAGACAGACAGGAGAGAGAACAGAATGGCCACGTTTCAAGGCATTTGTTCTCATTTTACTTTTTATATGTCAATGCACACAGATACAAGAGATAAGGAAAAGGGACAGACACTGCTGCTCTGTATTTCTAGCAAAGAAGGGCCCTTAAAGGCCTCAGGCATTACACCTGGGACCAAAGACATGAGTTTATTATGTTATACAAATTCTTTCTGCTCTGTTTGACTACAAAGATATGTGGAAGGTTTCTCTAGAAGAAAGAAAAAGAAGGGGAACGATGGAGGGGATATGTCCTCTTTCAGATTGGCAGGTTACATGTAAGCCCAGGAAGGTAACACAGGACTGTGCCAGGATTGCATGATTGCTAATCACAAACAGAATTTATTTTGCTAAAATCAGACCTTTTTCTTGGAAGGACCATGAGAAAGATGAAATGGAAACTTTAGGTGTTAAGGCTTTGATAACTCAGCGGTGGCAGAGTCACAACAGACAAGAGTGGACAGAAGCACCAAATTAATGCCCCTGTCATTTACTGTAGCTATTCTATTTGTCTGTAACAAAAGGGAAACTGGAAATTATGCTGTGTGTATTTGGGAATCTTTTTGGTGCCCAGATTTTCCTGGTATTTGTTCATTGTTAATGTAAATTGTTTTATGTGTGAGTGTTCTCATTTGTGAAAACTCTGGTAAAAGAGGAGAGAAAGCAGAAAAGCCAGGTTTGATGAAAAATTTTGGAGTTTCATGTAATTTAAAAAAAAATTGAAAAATTGAATGCTGGAAGCAGTCAATGCAAGGATTGAATACAATCACAACAAATGATGGTGTTTTGGGCAAGACTGCACCCCCTGTTTACCCTCCTGAAACACTGCCAGGGCAGAGCTGCATTAAAGTTAATTAAGTTACCATTAATGGTTTAGACTAATCCAAAGTTTTGCCCCCTTAATGAAGCTCCATTGTTTTCACCCCACAGAAACAATAATAAGCCTGAGCTGCCTGAAGTGAGGCGAGTGAAAGTTTTAAGAGGTTGAACAGAGAAAAGTTGAATAGTTCAGTCATGCCTTACAGGAGGAGAGCAGGGTGATAAAAGGAACTGGCAGAGCACATTTCCAGAATGGATGGTTATGACTGAAGTAAGGATTGAAGTCAACTGTAAGAACTATAACAAGATCACACTGCATCCACAACTCAGGTTATTAACATTCCTGCAAACAAAACTGATGCCTTAGAAAATAAATAAACATTCAGAATGCGCTTTCTAG